CGCACTCCGGCCCCTCGGGGCGTAGCTTGGGCTGGATGCGCTGCGTCCAACAGAATCACCGCGCGTGGGTTCATGGGACCGCGCTTCTGTGTGTGCTCTGCCCAGCCCTCAAATGCAATGAATCCGGTGCCGACCACGGCCCGCGAGGGAGGGGGGCGCACCTGCCCCTCCACGAGTTTCCCATTATTTTATGGGCCTGTCTTTTGCTCCAGCTTCAAATGCCTCCACCGCGCGCTTTCAAGCCAACGAGAATGAATTCCTGCAGAAGACACCTGTCGCCGCCGCGACGCCGGGGAACGGGCCGGTGTACGCGGGCCCGGCGGCAGGGTGGTGCGGCGAAATGGATGACGGGCCAGGGGGTTGCATGGAACTGCTCGCACGCGACTCACCTCGATCATGAACTAGGGGGAATTCCGTCCGTGCGCGTGTGTCTTCCCAAAGTGAAACAGGTAGCAGAGCAACGGCACATATACAAAAGGAAAAGAAATGGCAAACAAGAGGGCCACAGTCAGATAACACCAGCGTCACAAGTAGGCAACCTATCAGAATGCGCCGCAAACTACATGAAGCGTTCTTAAATAGATACATAATAAGACACTGGCATTTTCCATCCATTTGCATCGAGGACCTTAAACCAGAAAAAAAAAAGGAAGAAATCTCCTGAATTGGTGGTAGTTGTCGCCGTCACCACCACAAACACAAAGGAGGCTCTGCCTCTATACCCACGGTTGCAAATGTCAAGTCTCCAAAATGGCAAACCAGCGCTGGAGGGAGAACCTTATACTCCACCTGCTCCCCACCCCACAGCATATATATATATATATATGCGATTGTGAAGACAAAAAAAAAAGTAAAACCGTATAAAACGAAAATAACGCAAAGAAGTGGTTTTTTCTTTTCTTCTACTGCAGATGAATCCGGCCTTTCATCATGGCAGTGGTTGAAGGTCTAACAATGACAGTATCTGTTCTCATAGAACCATACGTAAATATATATACATACATACATACAAATATATATATATATATATATTCATATATGCTTGTATACTCTGTAGGTGACGTATGTGCCTGCATATCTGTGCACATATGCATACCGCAGCGCCTCGTCTCAGCTCGCCCCTGTTTCTCTTCCAGTTGGACCAGCTTTTTCCTCACTTTTTTCGTCTCGTTGAACAGAGAAGCACGTATTTTTCCTCGCCGCCATTATTGCAATTGCACACACGCCTCGCCCCCCTCCTTTTTTTTCTTTCCCGGAGCAAAATGAATATCCATTTCCTCGTGAATTCACATTGAACCCTCATCATCAGCTCCGGTCATATATATTTTTGTGCCTCTCTTTCTTGCACTGCTTCACCGGGGACTGCTATCAGTCACGCGTTTTCCGCGGTTTGCTTGACCGCCTCGCGTTGCTGTCAGATACGGCAGACGCACCCTACGCATCATGCCTAAACTGCGAGAAACCAATGAGCTCATTCCCTGAGCTTGCAACACCTCGCCAGGCGAGGGCTTCAATGTCTGTGCAGGCTGCGATTCATCTACTAACGCAAGGGGCGCTAGGCGCCTCGTCAAACTTCGCTTCCACAATTCATTTTGATTACTGCCACCGACACCGACTCCGTTCAAAATATGATTGGGTGTGAATGAGGTACCGCATGCACTTCGGTTCTTTTGCAGCTGCGAACCGAGTGCTTCCCGTATGTGGTGGCTGAACGCAATGCCTTGCTGGCCTACCGCCTTCAGGTGCGTTGTGGTGGCCGCCAGTTGTATCAACTCCGCACCAGCTGCGTCGGTGAGGGGGTTATCAGAGAGATCCAGCAGCTCAAGGGATGGGTGACCTTCAAGCGCGGAGCACAGCTCGCGAACCCCGGCGTCATGAATGTCGTTGTGACTAAGGTCCAAGTAACGAAGGTGACTCAGTCTCGGTAGCAGAGCAACAAATGGTTTCATATCGGTGTCGCGTAAGCTCATGTTGACGAGAAACAGCGATGTTGCGTCACGCTCAGAGTCGATGTGTTGCAAGATGGCCAGCAATCGTTCATTGGGTTGGATATAGCGCTGCAAACAATTCAATACGTACGCGGAACGTAGTAAGGGTTGCACCTTTGTGGGGGAAACCAGTGCGTCGTAGCTCTGAATATGCGGCAAAAGATCGTTGTCAACGTTTTCTCTGAATTTTGAAAAGGCTTCATCCACTGTTTTTGAATCGGCATTATTATACTCCTTTAAAAAAACCACGCGCATCATTTCAATCAACATATTCATGCCATCATGGAGGTAAAGCTCATTGTAGAGTTCTTCCATGCAGTGATAGCGGGATCGGTTGCGGGGGCTGCTCTCCGCCCTTAACGCTTCCTCGCTCCCAGGCCTTGCAGACGAGTTGGCCTGAAACCTATTCCCTGTGCATTCTTCCGTTGGCAGGACATGGGGTGTTTGTACATCATAAATGTCTTCACTCGCGCATTTGGATGCGGAATTGTAAAGGGGCAGTGGCGAATACGGTTTCTCTTGGTCTGATCCCTCCGTCGGGGCGCTGATGGTCACACGTGACTCATGTTGTCTGCCCGAATTTCCTCTTCCACTGCTGTGCCGCTCAGACGACCTATTTTGTGTACTGGAATCGGTGTTGTAGGACTCGGTGCAAGTTAGCGCAACGGGTAAAGTGTACTCATGATTGGATGTTTCGCCTGCTTTGCCATGGTCCTTGTTCTCCACCTTCCCCGCTAGTCGCACTTCAGACCTCGGAATGACACCGTTTTCCACTAGAAGCTCTTTCGATTCATTTAGAAGTTGAGAGAAGATGGCATGGGCCCTATCCAGCGTGCCACCCGGCAGAAAATCTGTGTGACGCGCCAGCTGAATGTCCTCCCTCAGCATCTTCAAAAGCGGTTCCAAGATGGACTGGTATTGCATACACATCGTGCGGTAGTTGACACCGCCATTCAAGTAGTGGCATAGCTCAGACGCCGCGACATAAAGTTCACGCTCTTGCCAGTAGGTCGGTCCGCGCGGCCTGTTCGAGGCAGTCACGAGGGATAGATGGGTCGTGGGGACGGAGGGAACGCCGTTGGCGCTTGGACTGATCAAAGGGACCGACGATCTCCCCTCGAAAGCCGCGGAGCCAAGTGTGAGGGCGTTCCACAAGGTGGACTGGCTTTGCGAACTCTGCATCAAATGCCGCTGCAGGGCGTCGCACTTCGCGTTGATGTTCGCCACGAGTTGCTCCACCCTCTCCCCTTTGATGTCAGCGGGAACGCCATCTGTGTTCTCGGCCATGTTAACGGTAGACGACACCACACCGCAGCCCTCGCCGGCACAGAAAGAGCCACACAGGCACACACACACTAAATATATATATGTGGACTGCTGGGTGATTGCCGCAGAGGGACGATTTCTATTCCCGCGCAACTGCGCACTCCTGTGAGCAGGCGCAACGGTATTTTTTACTTCTCGTTTTTTATCTACACTGAGGAAAAAACCCACCCGCCCCCAGAGAGAACGAAAGCAAAAACAAAAACAAAAAAGGACAATAAAGAAACAATACATACCAACGAATTCAACATAAAACGAGAGTTCAACGCAAATGAAGTACCAGATCCAGACATCATTGGGTACACAACAGTGCATGTTTACTTTTCCAAGGGGCCCGCTTCACATTACAAATACATACATACAAAAGAGTAAGAAAGCACCAAGAATAAGAAGCAGCATACAAAAAGACATTTGGATTCAACTGCATTCAACGCCTCCTTTCTATATTTTTCTCATCACAAGTTTTTGTTTCATGTGTCGCACTTTTATATCAAGTAGCAGAAGTGCATGGATCTGTACATCGAACTCTTTTTTTTGTTGTTGCTCTTCGGTTATTCTTTTTTTTTTTTCATGGGTATTGTTGTTGCAATTCCTGTCCTTCCTTTACTCACAGGAGTTTGAAGAGCAACTTTATTCGTCACTCTTATCCTTCTCCCAGGGCGAAGCTTCACTCGTGACATCCTCTGAGGCCATGCTCATATCCGATGACACGGTTAGGGTAGGCACGAGTCTGGAGTTGCTGTCCTTTTCTTCACTCTCCACAGTGGAGCTTCCTGCAGAATATGCCTGCTCTGCCAGCCGCCGATTTTCCTCCGCGAGCGCGGCATTTGCCTGCTTCAACTCATTTTCTCGTATTTGCCACTCCTCCTGTTGCTTCTTCTCCCGCATTTGATAGCGTTGGATTTCCCTCCGGTAATTCTCCCGCTCAGACTCCGTCTTTTGACACTTCTTTACCACCTCATCGTAGCGTCGCTGAATCTCGTTTGCCACCCGTTGCATGACATCCGTCTTGTTCTTCTTTTCCATCGCCACGCGATCACGTCGACCACAGAGCACACATGCGTCTTCTGGGCATGCGGGCGGCTGCAGAGGTGGCTTTATGCTTTCCTTCACTAAACCACTATTTGCAAGGGCATTCACACGGAGTTTGATATGCCGCAAAGCCTCGGTGACATCGTGCACCATGTCACAAACGACCCTCGGCGTCATCTCATACTCACCGGGTGCAGTATACTCCAGTCGTAGAAACGCCGCAATGTCAAACTCGCGGCTGTACAACGCATTGATCTCTTCTGGCGTACAGTCGGTGACACCCATAGCCGTAAGATCTTTCCTGGTAATGAACTGGAGACGTTTCCCGCCATCGTCGCTTGTTCCTTTGCTGGGCTGCGTGCTTTCGGGCTCAGGGGTCAAGATTGGCACGGGTGAGACGGGCTCCGCTGGGGCTTGAGCTTCCCTGTTGTCGTTTTCCCCACCATCCTCGACATCCAACGCTGCAAAGCTCGCCGCAAGAGGTTTTCCTTGCATCCCATTCCAGCGTCCAAACACCTCAAAGACGCGCTGGCGGTGTTTCTTCTCCATTTCGTGGGCGCCTACGGCACGGGCAATTTCTGCCCACTTCTTCGTTGGCGCTCTTGACGACGGTCCAGGGGGAGGCAATACAAGACGATCATACAGTGGCTCGCATGTGTCGTCCACCACCCGCATTGCCTCTGAGAGTGCAGCAAGCAGTCGGTAGGACTCAGTGTATAACTCTTCTCGTGCCACTTGTTTCTCTTCCTGTTTAACGGCATTCATGTGGGTCGTGGGGGCGTCAAACACTTTGCTTGTCTCACTGGACCCCGCATTCTGAGACTCGTATAATTCCTCCAGCCCTTTCACTGCCATTTGCGTGTAGGTATCCCCCAATTCCATTAGCATATGCAAGTGCTCATCAACCGGGTGCTTTGAGAAATTCTTGTCCTTCAACTGTAGACGTTCAATGAGAGTGTCATACTTGGAGGCCTTGTACTCAAGCTCACCATTTGCACGGCGCAGCTTCGCTTCCTCTTGCCTCCCTTTTTTCACTTCATCTCGTAGCGTGATGACTTCCTCCACATCTTTTCGAGAAGCCACAATCAGCTCTTGGCGTGCTCTCGCCTCGCGACGAGCCTGGTCCTTGCAATAACCAACCAGCCAGAGACAACTTGAGGTGACATCCATGATAAGGAGGCGAAGGACGTCTAATAAGGCGCCACGCTCCACACATGTGCCAGCAATCTGTCGTATAATTTCAACTAGACCCATATCTGCTACTTTCATGACTTTTTCTACGGCCTCAACGTACATCCGATGGACAGAATCGGATTCTTGGATGGCCTGTGAATTAATAATCCGCTCGACATCGGAAACACTCCGGTATACAGAGAGTCCATCGTTTTCTGGCGCCTCTGGCAAGAGCAGCTGCGCAATCTCCTTGTTTGCCAATACAACGAGGGTGTCTGGGACCTCCTGAAACATGCGATCCAGGGCATCAGCGAGTAGGTACACTTGCGCACGACCAGTAGCCTTTGCAGCTGGAAACACAACCGAACTTTTCTTGGGTAAACTACTTACGGCATCCTCATCGATTTTGTGCCGCCTAGAGCCTGGAAAGGTAGGATTACTAACGCTCACCCACAGAGAACGTGGAATGACCGACGACTCCCACGAGGAAAGACGCTCAATAATGGCCCGACGTGAGACACTCATTTGCATGGTGCTGGCCCCAGGCCATGTTTGCTGCATCTTCTCATATTCTTTACTGACTGCAAGTACGGCATCTAGTGCCGAAAAAACGGGCGCGTAGGATGGATGCGGATGTGGGATGCCGTCTATTTTCTCTGATGGGACATTGCAGCCCACTACGGGTCGTCGCCTTGCTGAAGCGTAGGCGACGACTTGCTCAATGATACAGGCATCATCACCTACATTGGTAGAGCGTGTCAACGGCAGACTTAACGCGGTACCCACGCCCTCCGTGGAATTCGCTTCGGTGGGGGAAGTAGATAAAATAGACAATTCTCGTTGTATTACTTTATCCTCACTGCGTGGAGGAAGTGATGTGAGAAAAGGAGAAGAATGCTCGTACGTTGACCGCCATTTCTGTCGTTTTTTTCCGGAGTACAAGGAAGTAATAGGAAGTACCTTACGCGACGTCGGATACTCATCTTTCCGTGCTTCGTCAAACACTTTTGCTTGCAACATTTTCTCTACATAGGGCGGCTCTAAACGGGTGACCTGTGTGCGCAGCTCATCCAGCTTCGCATTGGGTGATGGTTCAATCTCTTCCTCGATCAGCCTGCTCTGGGTTCTTGCGGCCACCTTGAAGGCCAAAGCACGGCCTTTGTGCAAGAGCGTGTAGAGGGTTTGGGGGGTAATGCGGTCATCCAGGTTTATTGGCCTCTCCGCGTTCCCCTTTGCACGACCGGGCAACTCCGCCTCCATCTGGGTGGAGGGTTCCGCGATGAGTGGGAGGTTCCTGCAAAGCATTCCCACGGTCTCCTGGTGAACTGCCGCCGTTGAGGCCTCCACCTCATTCTGTGATTCCTTTCCCGCACTTGCGGTGGGGCGAGTCACGGCCAACGGCACCTTGGCGTACAACTGCTCCCTTGGCTGCGTCGTGTAGTGGAACCGCAGACGATTCATCAGCGGATCTTCTGGCACCCCGGGCGGAAGCCTGGCCGCGCGTTGGGTTTCCACCAGACTTGGGATGCTGGTGCTGCTCAGCGTCGTTTGCCGCGGCTGCGCTGCCCCCAGCGTGACGATGCCGACGGGCCCTCGGTCGGAGGACTTGGAGCTGTCCAATTCGGGTGG